ATCTCACAGTTGATCCAGCAGAACCAGAGATATTTGAGATATTCGACACATTCTTATCCTTATCTTATAAAATGTTGCCAGGAGCCATAAACAAAGATGAGTAGTAGCCTACTACTCAAGATGAGTAGTAGGCTACTACTCATCTTTTTTCATACCTACTACTAGTAGGTATGAAAAAAGAGGTACGGAAAACTCACTACTTCCTTATCCCCACACCCTCAGATTTTGTAAAATGTTTGACCCAATTAAAGCTGCCTCAAATGACATCTCTCAATGCAGTTTGTGAGATTTTGAGTAGCTCCCCCTAAAGCCAATTAAAAGGCATATACAACTTTATTTTTTTCACATTTAGTTATAATATTACTCACCAAGACCCGTAAACGTAATTTGCTTTTTACAATCTATCGAGTTAACCGTTAAACTAAGGTTTCCAATTAATGATTCGGACCAGAGGGGTTGTCTCCACACGGTTCTCATTGTGGCGTTAGCTCGGTCGGCTAGCAGCTAACGGTGCTAACAGGGAAAACGCAGTAAAAACAACGGCATAAGTGCTAAGAAAGCTGACACTGTTTACCTGAGAAGAAACAGGAGGCTGGTTGCTACGTTTCTTTGTCGCCTTGGGTCGGCACGGCAATATCAAAGGTAATGGCCAGATACTACCAACCAAGTCTTACGGCATTTCGTGTTATAGTCACGAAATTAATCTATTGATTCGTGTTAACCAACACGATTTCCCCATTTCTTTCGTGTCACACAGAACGATTTTAAAAGCAATGTAAATAATAACAAATTAGAAGGAAAAAAAGATTAAAAAAAATACAGATTTCAGTATTCTGAGGCTCTGAGCCCCATTTCTTTTCCTCGCGGACGGCAAAAAAAGTCCGACATTATACTATATAAAATAAAAACAATAATCGTGGCTTGATATTGAGTACGATTTTTTTTTTATGAACCACACAGCTTCTGGTCTTCCAAGACCCGACCGGACAAAAAGACTTGGTGCAGGCACGAAACATACTACCAATAGAAATACATTGCTTTTAAAATCATTCTGTGTGACACGAAAAAAATGAGAAAATCGTGTTGGTGAACACGAATCAATAGATTACATTTATTTCGTGACTATTACACGAAATGCCGTGAGACTGGGTTGTACCAATTTATAAGAAATAGAGGCAACCAAATGTTTATTGAGATGGATAACCTTTCCCAAACACGTCTCAAGTCCTTTGAAGCATTTTTCTGAGAATTAATTTGTAGTTATTACCAAACTCTTCACTTTCCTATACAGCTTACACATTGTGCAATAGTGTCTGAGTATATGTTTTATTATGTATAGGCATATTGACAGTGAACATTTACTAAATATGTTTTTATATTTCCATCTTTTCTGACTGCACAGAGGATGTAGTTGATACATGGAGAGGCGGTGAACATGACCTTCGCCATCATGGTGCATGTTGCCCACCAGAGGGGGCTACTCACAGTAGACAACAGGGGCCTGTTTCTGGTAGTAAACCCTGGCCCTGGTGCACAAATCCACCAAGGAGCATCTGAAGACCTCTGATGGCTCTCTGAGGATGTTTCTCCCCCCACAGGACTGGGACATGCAGGTATAATAATATTCCATAAATCCTGTCTGTCAACATTCCCCCTTTAAACATAGTATAAAGAAAACAAACACAATTTCTCTGTTAAAAGAAATATGCAGATTACAATTGTTCTGTTCTTTTCAATGTATATCCCATTTTCTTACACATTTATTTTATACTATAAATGTATGTGGACACAGTAGAATATAGTTATTAACATGTATAAATGTGGCAAGATATAAAAGTCCTTCTGTGGGCACCTATGGATTATTATTTATTGTGGATTCAAATATGAATAAACACTTAAAATGTCAATATATTAATGTGCTTATCACTATATGATAGTGTCTTATAAACCATTTATTTAAAGTTTGAATACTGATTTTAAATGTTATATAGGCAAACTTAAATAAATAAATCATTACACATTTAACAAAAACTGTGAAGAAAAACACAAGATCTACAAACATTCAAAGGAAACTTTTAATATTTCTCACAAGATAAATTCAACATTGAGTACCAATGGGTTTGAGTTCACTAATCTGAAACCAGTGCTTACAGTAACTACTGCTACATTCATCTAATCTAAACTGTAACAATAAGAACAGTAGCAACATCAGCCGAGAACGTTGTCTGTGAGCCACAGGAATGAGAAGGAGGAAGTCTAAATTGAGCTTACATGGTTCTTCATTAGTGGTTTACCCATAATGTGCCATACTAATTAACAACAGGAAGATTCAATCAAGTCAGTCGTAGGGACAGCTTTAAATGAATTGCCACCACTATCACATGCTGACGTTTGTAACCTGTCACATTGCAGGGTTCAGATGATTTATCTATTCCATTAAAAAAGGCTGATCTGGGTTCAGTCAAATGGCACTGTTAAAGGTCAGTGTGTGTTGCACTGTTAAGGCTCAGTAGCTGGGATTGGTGTCACCATAAAGGCCATTGTGCAGTCCTTTAAAGCTTAATTCACCCATGACAGAAAAACGGAAGGTACAGTAAATGTAGCTTCTGACCACATCAGCTAAGCTTTCTCCACCTGCTGTTTAAGACAGTGAGATGTAGAAAATCTTTAATAACGTCTTCAGTTCTCTCTCTTTTTTGTGTCAAACTACTGTTTCCAGTGGTACTGTCCTAGTTAAGTCATGGCTGATTGCTATCATGTGTTATTGCTTGTTACAACAGAAGAGAAAAACACCACTAACAGGTGCGTGAGCTACGCAGTTAAAAAACAGCTATTTATACCTTTTACATAAACATATTTTATATATCATTTTGGCAACACATTTTGGCATCACTTAGATCTACAATCATACTAGTCTGAAAAGATGCTGAATATTCAGTACAACTTTGGAAACCCCGCCCTCAGTGTGGAGCCCCAATGTGTTCAATATTACAAATAATTTATCACATAATTGCAATTTCTACAATGACACCTTTTTATTTCAAATTATAACTTTTTATGATTGAGCTCTTCCTCTTTACAAAATAACTTGTGTTTTTCTATGGAATAATTTTAAAGACGTAATAAGATAACTCTGAATTAATGAGTAAGCTAATACTGTTAGCACTGGCTCTATATATTCCAGGTTTACAAGCCAACCTAGCTGGTTAGCTGGGTAGCATATGTAGCCGTGTTGTGTTGAATAATAGTTAGTTGTCCTTGCACTGTGTGTGTTTGCTGCAGCGAGTCAGTATTAGTTTTAGCATTTCCGTTGCTCTAGCTAACGGGAGCTAGCTGGAGAAATGTTGTGGCTGTTAAGGCGGTATGGAGAATTGAGCGATTGGCTCAAGAGTTAAGGGGTTGTTTAACATTTGTAAATAAAGACGTTAGTGCTGATTTTGAAATAAAAATGTAATTGAGAAAAATGCAGTTATCAAGCAAAAACAAACTTTTAAAAAAGGGCACTTTGAAATAAAAAAAAATCTGTACAGAAGAAAAAAAATAAACACTTTAAAAACAAATAAATAAAACACTTTTAATACGAAAAATAATAATAATGAAATAACATTTAACATTGATTAGTTTTAATAATTTATTAAATTACTTAAGAATTCATTGATTTACTTGATTATATTATAATAATTTATTTCGTAATGCCTTTTTCTTTTCAGTACTGAACACTTTGGGGTTCCATCGTGACATCTTGGTGGCTCTTGAGTTTCCTTGTACTGACAAACCACCTTTCCTACTGCTTTCTAAAACACTTTGGCACTCTTCAGTTAATTCATAAAGCACCAAACACCAGTATTAACATCAACAAAGTTTTGCATCACTGTCTACAACTCCTCAACACCAGGGTAACAGAAATGACTGTAAGGCACTTAAATCAATTAAAAAAGAGAACTACATTGACATTGTTTTAGACTACTTCATAAGGAGATCACATTGTTGAGACATGATGCTATTCTGCAGGCACAACTTCAACCATTGCATAGTTTAACAAAAATGGAGGCTGTGCTGTAACAGTAATGGCAGGAAAGTATAAACAAAGGCTTACCTATGCAATGTGCTACAACTGTTGAACACAAACGGCTGAAATGTACAATAACCGTACACCATAAAGAACCTACAATCACATACAATATTCTGTATGCATTTGAAAAGACAAATACAATAGTTAATATGCTTAGATAAAAAAAAAATGTGAACAAACCATGTTTTAAATTACAGAGGTCATTCCAGTGTTTCTGACATGCATTTTATACAAAATCCCAAAGCAGTCTCCTTATACTCCTTGGCAATAAAAATGTTCACATCATGGAAAATAAATGTGGTGAATGGTCACCGCAGTGGTGTAAAATAACAATAATTTAGCAAATGGATGGACAGTTAGAAAACCCAGCACTTGCATCAACACAGGTCTGAAGTATAAACACTAGTATTATCAGCTGTTTTAGTCTGATCACTACAGACAAGAATACAATAAAACTATTAATCTTCTTCTCGCATTAATTATCTATCAAATTGTATAGAATTATTTTCAAGTGAAATGTGCTTCTTGTGTGTGTGTCAGGGCTTCAACAGCTCTTTTAGTTTACATTTTTTGAGAATGCATTATCAAAAATAATACTTTTCTTAAATATTTGTTAAAGGTAGGGTAGGTAAGTTTGAGAAACCGGCTCGAGATACACTTTTTGTTATATTCCATGGAATGCTCTTAACATCCCGATAGCAATGAATATCTTAAGTGCTTTGACAAAAAATCCATAAAAAAATGTCATCTGTGGAAGCCGTAATACTGTAAAAAGTACGACCAATCATTTTAGCCGACCCGGCTAAAATAACTGGATGGCCTACCTGCCTGTCAGCCTTCCATCTGTGCACAAACTTATCTCGTGCCCTCATTGGTCATGTGCGCGTGCGTGTGTTGGAGGAGGGGCTCTGTAAGGAAGTGGCAGATTTTCTCCGGTTGTATATTTTCTAATTCTAGCGATCTCGAGCCGGTTTCTCAAACTTACCTACCCTACCTTTAAGTTTGAAGTATTCAGTGGTTTTGGCAGTGAGGAATTTATACTTTAGAAATATCTGGCACACCCGGCTGAGCAGTCTCTGGATAGTTAAGGATGCATCAGTGTGATAAAAATAGATGTACTGGATTGTTGTGCTGCTTCTTGCTCATTAGTGAGCTTTTATTTATTATTATCTCATTTATTTAAAAAAATTGCTCTTTTTAAATGCCTTGTTATAAATACATGTTTTAAGGGGAATGTTTACAAAAAGTCCTGTTTACATTGATACATAAATAAGATACAATCTACAAATGATTATTATTTATAATTTCCAAGGAAGACATTTCAACTGGAAGACTGACAAAGACTCAGCTAACAGCCAAAAAATGTGCATAGCAATACAACATCGATGCATAACCATCTTAATAAGGCATTGGCACATTCAAGTTCAATCTAAGACACGAGGAGTGTAAAGCACTATAGTAATAAATAGTTTTCTTCTATTATTGCTAGTGATTTAAAAAGCAGTGTTCATCTCAGGACAAAATATCTACAACTCTGACCATGATTTATAACTTCCCTAGATTCGTTGGAATCAATAGAAATAAACATAATCTAGCCTCTATTCAAAGATGAATGCATATATATATATTTTAAATATAAAAACTTCTATTTTTGTAACTCATTGTCATCAAAGTTTTGATTAAAGCAAAAGTACTTCATAATCATTCTTTGAAATCAAGGTTGAGGGCTTGAAAAGACAAAGATATCACAAAAAAACTAAAAAAAAAAAGAAATGGAAAAGATTCAAAACATGTAAACACTGTCGGGGGAGAAATAAACAAACAAATGACACGCACAGGAGGAAGCGTCTCCAGCAGAGTGTGTAAGCTGCAGACGGCAACACTTTGCAGCAGGGTGGAGAAGGTTGGAGATGCATGTGTCCTCCAGTAGGGGGTGCTAACACACCTGATCATTCTCATCCATGCTCACACTGCTCTTACGACTGCTGTCCTTGGAGGTGTCGGGGGAGACGGACGAGAGCAAAGGGTCCCCCCCTCTCACCGGGGACAGGGTGTCTTCCATGAGGATGTCGTTGAGTTTGGAGCCCAGCTTGCCGTGCACGCTGTAGGGACCTTCGGGGTAGTTGGAGTGGCCGTCGTTCAGCTCCAAGGTGCCGGTCGGCTCTGCAGTGCAGTCTGGGAGGTGCTGGTGGTTGGGGTGCAGCGTGTACAGCTCCTGGCAACAGTCCTCCAGAGAGCGCTCCTGCTTAATGGACCGGGCCGCCAGTTCAGACGAGCAGAGCGCCGAAGACGTGATGACCAGACCGTGAGCCCGCGCCTGCATCTCCAACTCCTGCAAACACATAGACTCACAGTTTAGTCAGTGAAGTGTGACAATTTCTGCCATAATATCTTTCATATTTACACTTTACACAGGAAATAGTTTAGCTGAGGTGTACGTTTTGTTCTAAATCCTCCCCTGACTATGACCGACGAAGCCATCTTTCTCTCCTTTCTCCCTTTTTAAAAGCATGTTTTTCCCCCCTGATTCTAGACGTTGCTCTACTACCACTCTTTACTCAAATGTAAAGACCCGATACAATTATCTTAGTTACTGCACCTTAAATGCACAATGTGTTCATTCAATCGATTTCCGCTGAGCCGAATCCAACAGACCCTGATGCCTCCTGTCATGTGATCAATTAGTTACAAGAGTCTAAACAGACGTCTGCTTCCTCTCATTCGTGGCCTTTGCTGTCTGTTCCCTGAAGCTTGACTTCTTTCATAAAAGGGTAACAGTTTCTTCTGACTGTCTCTTTTTCACACATATATGCAACACATATTGTAGTTTTACTTTTACTATCAAATAACCTTGCAAATAGCATTGCGATAACCTCTATGATTGTACCTTCCGATCACTACACGTCATGAAGCTTTGTTTACCTGTATCCTCAACAGCAAATGACGATTAGCATGCTCGAGCTTCTTCTGGCGAGTCTCCACCTCTTTGGCCCTCTGCTGCTCCCGCTGTAGTCTCCTGATGTAGTCCACTGACGCCTTCAGGATCGTGCCTTTGTTCCAGCGCATGTCCCTGAAATCACAAAGGAGGCATTATCAGAGGTGGGAAGTAGTGGAGTACAAATACTTCGTTACTGTACTTAAGTACATTTATCTGGTATCAGTACTTTACTCCACTATTTATTTTCTGACGACTTTTTACTTTTACTTCTTACATTTTTAACACAAATACCTGTACTTTCTACTTCTTACATTTTACAAACAGGCTGGTTACTTTAGTTTTAATCTGCGTTTGGTGGCGTGATCATTATTATTTAGAGTCATTGCGTGCCTATTGATTTGAACACGATCCGTGTATCCATCATTTCCTGGTCTTCTCTAAAGAAAAGGGACCAATGAAAACGTTGTCATGTTGCCGTTGTTCAGCATCGAAACATTCATTAGCTAACAATGACATTATTGTTCTATTAATAAAAAGGTAGGTCAGTTACTCTTTAAAACAGATGGTAGTTATGGGTACTTTTTACTTAAGTACATTTTGAGGCCCATACTTCTTTACTTTTACTTGAGTAAAGAAGTTTAGTCAGTACTTCTACTTTTACCAGAGTATTTTTAAACACTAGTATCAACTTCTACTTGAGTAAAGTATGTGTGTACTTTTGCCATCTCTGGGCATTATGAGTCCATCCTACACACAGTCTCTTATATCCTTTAGATTTGATGTCAGACAATCGGCAATAAGCCATCTCTATTCAGAAAGAGAATCTGACAGAGACAGAGGAGGATAATGAGGAGGAGAAGAGCGGCTCCGGAGGTCAGAGAGGTGACCAGCAGTCAGAAGTCTGAGCTCTCTGCAGAACTGAGAGCAGCATCATACATGTTTACAGGGGAGGTCAGAGAGATCGCTGAAGAATTGAAGGTTGCAGGGGAAGTTTTGCAGTGTTCAAATCGATCTTTACTATACTAACCGGGAATGATCTGCATCCAAAATCGATACTGAGGTGTGTAGGTTGAAGCAGTTGGAAGCCTTAAGGGCGGATACACATCTTTCTGTCTCTGATTATACGATTGAAGAATTCAAACTTAAAGTAATGCATTTATAGTTGTTTTTGAGATTGTTTATGCAAACAAGTCCGTCTACCATTTGTTTTTATAATTATTCAGGTGTTCAGATTCAGATGTAAATGAAGGTCTCTTTGTAAAAGGAGGTCCCTGAGTTTGTGTGTGTGTAGGTATATGTGTGGGTGGAGCACACAGCTGGGGTTAAGCAAAACAACCGTGGGTGGAGAGACAAAACAAAAGAGGCTGCTGGGATCTTCCCAGAGCCACAGGCAAGGTCAGAGGGCAGAGGGAGAGTGAGCTTTAAGTGGAGCTTTAAGTATGCACACAGAAAGTATGATAAATATAGCCATAATCTGACCAATTAAATCATCATTTTGTGGGTATTTGTATTTTAGGTGTTCATTCCTTTAACCCTATTGTGATTTATCATTATGTCACTTGTATAACCAAATAAAGAAGTACAGTGTATAAAATAAGAAACTTACGGGTCATTGGATTTAGGAATTAAGGTTCCCAATTCCTTGATTCGATCGTTGATGTTAAACCGCCGTCTTCTCTCAACTAAAGGAAAGAAAAACAGAGGAGAAAAGGTCTATGATAAGCTGTCGAAACAACATCTGAAAATATATTTTTATAAAGCAAATAAGCATATGACACTAACTACATCTATTAGTCTTTTACATTTACATTAACAGAGTTATAATTAAGAGCATTTAAAGTGCAATTAAAACTCACTCTGATTATGGTTATCCTTCTTCTGCCTTTCCTTTGCCATCGCCCTAACTTCTGATTTAAGAAAAAAAGGTTTGATTAATGATAATAGTTTTAATTCAAATATAATCAACTGTGCAGCGCAAGTATAACACATGTGTTTAAAGATAATGAGCCGTACGCACCCCCAGGGAACCCTTCAGGACTTTGATAGTCGTCGTATGTTCCGCACGATCCAGATTTATCCAGCATGTGCATGAGGGCCGTGGATTGTGAAACTGTAATAAATGTTGTTTTTAGTATTAAAATGTGCAGAATGGATAGAAATACATTGAAAGACAGGTCAGTCATGCACACTTCCCACACAGAAAGTTATTTTTAAAAGGCTTCATTATGGTGTGCACTGAAAAGCAGAGCAACATGTGGGTTGTTCGAGCCATTATGTTCTCCATGCAAGAAAAGATTAATGGATGTATGTTTTCACAGATCTAAGATCTGTAGACATTGGATGTATTTTGATGACAGTAGCCCGCTGCTTAAAGGTCTCCTGTTATGCTATTTTTAGGCATATATTATGGGTCTCAGATATTAAAAAATATATAAAAAACATGTCTGTGATGTGTTTTGCTCAAAATACCAAACAGATCATGCATTTTAGACATCCCTCATATCCCTCTGTTTCAGGCCTGTTAGAGAACTGCAGGTTCAGGGTCCTTAGCATAACAAAAGAAAAAAGAGGAGGGGGAGCTAATGCCTGCTCAGAATTCTACGAGATACAGCTAAATGCTGCCGTGATTGTCATGTTCCAACCCACATCAAGGATTATTTCTGAAACAGTATGGAGCTCAAATGCTTTTTCTCTTGTGGGTTTACAAGGTGAGTTCCTTTTTTTATTTCCTGATTTTTTACACATACTCTCTCCAGTACAGGTTAGCTCTGAGTGTTAGTGATGCTTGCTAATGTAAACAAAGAACATATTACATCCAAAACACGTCAGGCATTCTTGCCGATAGCAACATTTCTGACGCAAATCTGGATCAGCTCCATTGTTCCCCCGTTTTTAGAGATTTGGGTACGGAGGAAAAGAGTTTCTGACACTTTGTGAGTTCCCTGACACACATATTTATGTATAAAAGACATCAAAAAGTGCATTTTGCATGATAGGTCCCCTTTAAGTTTTTGTTCAAGAATTGCTTTGGCTGTGCTGCTTACCGGAGTATTCCCTTTTGACGTTGGGCAGGTTGGCGGGGCAGGAGTTGCTGATGGGCAGACCTTGCTGGGCCATACCCTGATTACCATACAGGTCCATGAGGTTAGCATTCACAGGGATCTGAGGGGACACAGCAAAGACATTAAGCAAGGATCACCCCCCCTCCTCCACTGTATAGATAATAATCAGCATCACAAGATGAGCATGATGGGAAGGGTGGTGGCAGAAGACAGGGCCATTGTGCAGTCAACTTTAACATGTGTTGTTATAAGCAAATCAGTGTAATGACACTGTTTCAGGAATAGGTCTACATTTTGGGAAATTGACCTATTTTCTTATTGACTTAAGATTGAGACCTCTATAATGTGTACAGCAATCAGCTGATTAGCCTAGCTTAGTTTATCAACAAGACAGGAAACAGGGACACAGCTGCACTGGCTCTGTGCGAAAGTAAAACAAAATCTACCTCAGAGAATTTCTATAGCTCTCAATTTTGCACACCAATTAAAACTGTGAAAATTATAATTTTTTTAGGTTATGTGAGAGACTTGTCTTTTGGCGAGTGCAGTGATTTCATTGAATCTTCGGTGGTAGCCTGACAACCTCAGAGTGACGAGAAGACTCCAGGAAGTGTTCTCCAAAATGTGAGACTCTTTCTTTGTTAATTTGAGCAAACAGCTAAAGATAGTTTGTCTTGACTTTCTGTTATTGCAGAGATGTCAATTTAGCATTCAAAGGACTGTAGCCAATAAGATTGAGATTTAGTTGATTTATGTATGAAAGCTAATCACACACACACACACACACACACACACACACACACACACACACACACACACACACACACACACACACACACACACACACACACACACACACACACACACACACACACACACACACACACACACACACACACACACACACACACACACACACACACACACACACACACACACACACACACACACATACGTTAGCCATCTGAAGTCCTGGGTCCATCAGGCTGAGGATTTCATCACTGTAACTGGACTCCAGACTAATAATGTCATCAATGACATCATCCATCTATAAAAAGACAACATAAAAGGTCAAAAGACATACAGATAAGGCTGAGTAAAGGAACAAAATACATATTCTGTGTGTCATAATGAGGAACACAGTGAGTCACAAGCAGTCACCTCTTTCTCGCAGTTAGTGTTGAGGGTCAGTAGGGCCATGGGGCTGTTGGGGGCGCTGTTGCCCGGCCCTGGCGGCATGCCCCCGTGGTCCGAGGACTGGTTGTGGCAGGGCAGGCCCAACACCTGAGAGCCGAGCTTCCCCAGGTAGCGCTTCACCTGCTGCTGCTGCGAGCGCTGGATGTGGTACTTGGTAGGGTTCTCCAGGTGAGTCTGGACCTATGGGGGAGGGGGGGGGAGGGAAAGTGGAAAACAGGAAGAGATATGTGTTATTTACAGAATAGATAAGATAAGAAGTACTTTATTGATCAGAAGTGTCCAAACTGCGGCCCGGGGGCCATTTTGAATTGGCCCGCAGCAAATTCTAAAAGTATAATGGAATATGGCCCACACATGAAACTTGTGCTTTTCCTATATTGTGCTTCTTAAATATATATATAACACAGTATTCATGTTTTAAGAAGCCCACTTTTCAAATAAATTCTGTCAAATAAAGTTGAAAACATTTTCAAACAAATCTTAGTTGATACAAAAAAGCGCAATAACTGATTTACATAACAAGCTTGAAATACACCCTTCCTATTTCTCCTTATTATAAGCAAACTGAGGTTTCTGTTTTAAGGAATGAGCTGCCACCAAAAAAAATGAAACCCTATGGAAATCTGTGATGTAGGCATGTATTTTCTTAAAGCATATTCAAGTATCAAGCATAATTTACATTACATTACATGTCACTTGTTAGACGCTTTTTATCCAAAGCGACTTACATACTCAATACTGTGGACAATCTCCACAGGAGCAATTTGGGGTGAAGTGTCTTGCCCAGGGACACAACGACATGCTGACTGCAGTGGGGTTTGAACCTGTGACCCCCTGATCCGAACACCAACGCACCTTTACCTACATTTGATTAATGTTGTTAACTTATAACTTAACTTATGAGGCAATATACCTGACATGGTACAATACAAATTAAAAGAAATAAACAAGAAAGTAGAAAATATACATGTTGAATTACAAATGTACAGTAACAAAATATATAGATATAATATATAGATATTCAGTTTGGTTACAGATGCAACATGAGAAATACATTTTTTTGTCTTCGTATGCTTTCATTAGTTTAAAAAGTCTAAACATGTTTAGATATATAGAGAATAAAAAGGATAAATAAATATACCTCAAAGTCTGTATTGCACCGTACTAACTCCAATATTAAAATAGACTTGGCACAGAGATCAAATCCGGAGATGCATTATTCATTTTTCTTTTGAGACGCTTTCAAGTGATGTTATCTCAAAACAGTGTCAGTACAAAACCATTTCTACATTTGTTGTTTTTACGTATTCATATAGTCACTACATAATTTAAGTGACAAAAATAACACGCACACCCGTCTCTGCACTTCCCCGGTTATAGATACATTTGAATTCTGAGGATCATTAAATCCCACGCAGCATTAAAGATCCAGAAAAGCAAAAACAAACTTCAGAGAGTGTTTGTCAGACTGTCACACATTTTAAATGGAGCAGTGCTGCTGCATCCCAGATGAGTCTATATTTAAACCAGCTGTCTATTGCGTGAATCTCTAATTTATGGAATAACGACAGTAAAAAGTTCATCAATAAATATAGATACATAATAACTGTACAAACATGCATCAGCACTGACACTGTTTTTAAGATTAAGTCACATACTGTCATGTTATTTTTCACTTATAATAAAAGAAAATACCACAAAAAAAGATTGTTGATTGTAAACATACCTCATAAGGTTGGTATCCGAGCAGCTCAAGCATCATTTTAAGTAGAGTGATCCTTCCTATTTAAAAACTCCTTAAATTTCTATCTATTTCCTAACTATCTAACTTCTATCTAAACTAAGAAGTTCTGGAGCTGCTTCCCTCTCGCCTGCACAGGAAGACTAAGCCTTGCTGAGGAGAGGCACCACCAGCTCATCTTTTAAAGACAAGAAAGGTCATTAGTTATGCATATCAGGGAGGCACAATGAGCTTTTTCAAATGTGTGTTGTTTTATGTAAAATCTGAATTTATCACTTGATGTCAGGATGTGCTGCTAACAGTTAGTGTCTTTGTTTTGCGAGGCCACCTCTTTTACTGAAACTTGCCTGGGGCTGTTGCTTTGCCGCAGCCAGTTTTCTCTTTTTTTTTAACCCTGTGGATGCTAGGCAGTTCAACACAGCCAAAAAATAATAACGTTTTTGTCTGCAGTAGCTCGCCTCTAAATGTCATTTCTAATCAGGAACAACAGGCATAAACGTCTCAAAGCCAACAAATAAGAGGCTACTTTTATTTTTACGTTAATGTATTTGTTCTGCTTAAGCTCAGAGGATTTGGGTTTATTAACAGAGCTGACGGGGTCACAGGCTCTTGGCAAACTCTAAGCTACCGCTGACATTTCCTCTGCTTCTGTGAAAACCCTATTGGACTGCACTCTACAGATGTGGTTATTATATCTCATGGAGCCTGATCAAAAATAAATAAAATGCTTTGACACATCTATTTCTGAGCATGGATACTCAATATGTGTGAGAACTGACTGATCAAGATAATAATGTGACTCAAAACAAGTCCAAATGTGCGCTTAGGGCTGATCAATATATCAATATTATATAGAAGTTGTGACATGGACAGCATATGGTCTTACATTTTGGATAGTGTAATATGTTTTACTTTTTTAAAAGACTCTTTTACAGTAAAATTATGCATTTCTCTTATCTTACTCAACTGTTACAGAGGTTTTATAATATGTTATTCAATTAGCCATTGTCTCCAAATGTCATTGTGTAAATATTTTGTGATGGTACCAAACAACAACCATACAATATCGTCTCAATATCAATATTGGTCAGAAATATTGTAATTTCTCCATATTGCACGTTTGTAATGGTGCATCTGTGTATCCTTTAGAAAGTTTATGACCTGTCACACCTGACATATCTTTGATTGTACCTCTCATACAGTATGAATACATATTAGGACTAGTCAGGTCAAGCCAGGTTATCCGTCCTTATGTCTGTCTGTGACTATCGCATTTTTCCACCTCTCATCAGAACAGAGAGTCTTTCACAGTCCCTTCTCCATGCTCAGAGACAGTATCATTGTTCTGCAGGGGGATACTCATGTGAGAGGTGCGTTAACATTTATCACGTAGGTATGACGTCATTACAAGGTTGTAAAGCTGACACCGCTGAAGGGGACATATTTACAGCACGTCATCCTCCATTGAGAAGAACCATGTCACGCTTTGGGCTAGTTTGAAACAATGAGAGTCTTTAATGTTGCTCACTACAACCCTTTAGTCTTTACTTTGTTCTCATTATGGTGCTTAACTCCTCTGTATCCTTAATGATGATTATATTTCAAGGATCATTTCCATAGTTCCAATAAAGCAGACCTCTGTAAAGCCACAGTCACCACTGGCACGCAGGAATAATTTTAATACAAAATGATTTGCTTCTTACATTGTGGACCACCTTGGCGCTAAACCTCAAAATAGACCTAGGCTGCAGAGTATTTAAAAACCTAATCCTGATGGATAATACTTAAGCCATAAATAAGCAATCCAATTATTTGCATTCACATGCGTAAACTATGGCTAAACAAACAGTGAAGACTAGATGATTACTACTAAACTATAAACTACACTACGACTGAATTTGGTTGGAGTTATCTGGAACAAAAGTTGGCACAATTCCCAATTCCAATTTAGATTTCTCTCTCATGTTTTTTTTGTCGTTGTTGTTGGTATTATCTTTTCTGTTAATCATTTGGTCCATAAAATGACGGGGAAAAAGTTGTTATGTAGTGAGAAAATATATCTAAGGAGATAAAGAAAGCAGGTCATAATCACACTTGACCAAATGGAAACATGCAATATTCAATAACTTCAACATATTGTTAAATACCCAAATAGACTGAATAAGAGGAATTGAAAAGGTTATATATTATACTTTTAAGTCTAGACTGAATACAAAATAGGGATATAAAGTGTTGATTGTGGATTATTTTAAGGTTAATTACCTGTTAGTTTTGACTAAATCACAGCCATGACCACACAAGGCAATTATTCCCCTTTTAGTCAAAGCGGCATGTTTTAATTTGCAGTCAGCTGCTATCATCATAAAAAAATATGAGTTAGTGGAAAGCATACAAAAAGGAAATAGTTTATCTTGTCCGTCATCAGTTAGTTCCCGCCATGGATCCAACACTCGAGGTGTTCCCAATTGAGCTCCAGGATTACTGAGTATTCTGTCCGACTCTGTGTGAGAACAAAAGAGTAACCAGCAACATCAACTTTCCTGGTTTGACTCTGAAAACTTGCCAAAAACTGCATCTGACTTTGAAGACTTAAAGCAGGGGCATCCAAACTTTTTTCACCGAGGGCCACATACATAACAATATACGAAGGGCTGCGCCACTCACTAGAGGTATACTGCCTCATAAGTTAAGTTATAAGTCAGCAAAATCAATCAAATGTAGGTAAAGTATGCTTGATACTTGAATATGTTTTAAGAAAACAAACAGCCTACATCACAGCTCTCCATAGGGTTTAATTCTTTTGTTAGCAGCTCATTCCTTAACACAGAAACCTCAGATTTCTTATAACAGGAGGAAATATGAAGGGTATATTTCAAGCTTGTTATGTAAATAAGTTATTGGGCTTTTTTCTTATCATCTTAGATTTGTTAGAAATTGTTTTCAACTTTAATTGACTGAATGTATTTGAAACATTTGGCTTATTAACTCATGAATACTACTGTGTATGTAATATATGTTTGCATATATATTTGAGAAGTACAATATAAGACAAGCACAAGTTTCAGTTGTGGGCCATATTTCATTATATTTTTTTAATTTGCTAAGGGCCGATTCAAAAGGGCCCAAACAACAAAATAGTTTGGACACCCCTCACTTAAAGGCTCACCTCACGTCCTGCCTTATGGTAAACTGGTTAATTATGAGAAGTTAATCAATTCATTAATACAAATAAAGAGATGTGCAAACTCAGGTCTTCTTGGAAACTTGGAGTCATATTTTTTCCTGGTTCTTTCTTTGCAGTTTTGTGAAATACTCGTTAACTTTCTTTGGAAACCACTGTTTTGAATCCTAAAGCATTTTTTGTATGAATTGTACTGTATTTATGTACCCCACCCTGGGCAAGAACACACTGGTTCCCAACACTTTGGGTTGTTTTGTACTTTCTTTTATCTATTTATGACACCACTTATCACAAGACGAATGTTGAAAGTGTAATGCGTGTGACCTTAAACACCACAGCATTAGACACTTAGACATTCAAAGACTAGGGACGTTGAATTTCTTTTTTTTTTTAGCAGATGTGGTTTTCATACTTTACTATTTTATAAATAATTAAACAACACTGTACCATTTATCTTATGACCTGTTGTCAACCCATGCTATGAGGAACATTTACATCAAGATTTGTGTTACAAAGACCCTGAATCTTTCATTTCAACTTTGTTTGTGTGGATTTACAGAAGAAATTCACAAATCCGCACAATGGATAGCTGTTCATATCTAAACATTGAAAATGATTACAATGTACAAAGGATTACTTCAGGAGCCCAATACAACAGTCAATCTCTTCTCTCAGTAAGAATAGACACAAATATGTCCTTAAGGGCATTTTGTTCACAAGACAAAGCAAAAGGTGTCTCAATAAAAGAAAAGAAAGACATACAAGTTTGTCTCCTAATCAACATGACTGAGAAGGTTACGTTTGAAATGATTTGAAGTGAAATGGATCAGTCCTTTAACCAAAAGAAACATATCAATTGATGCTAAGCGATGGTTAATTGAAGTTAAGGCTTAAGGACATTCTGAAGGGGATTATTATATATGTTTTTTTCAATATTGAGCGATTAATAGAGAACGCTTCACTAGTTACGCAATTATAAAAAAGTGGTTAAAAATCATAAATTGATTCAGTATTTAATATTTTTTCTTTGCTGGTTAAAGTCTCTTAAAGACTTTCATTTATTTCATATGACAGTTAATGAGTGTTTTATTAATTTTTTTAAACAAAACCAGCAGTCTTAATACATGCACCTTGGGTTCTTTACATGTTTCACTATTTTCTGACTGTATAGACCAAATTATGAATGAATTAGGCCAAAAATAATGAGCAGATCCATTATGAAAATATCGTTAGTCATTAGTCATTCATAGTCCTAAAATAAACTAAACAGTAAATCTCTGACATTGACTTAACCAGCTGCATTTCGTTTTATCCCTACATTCAAATGAGCATAAGTGGTTTCTCAAGCTTGTTTTTGTCCCGAGGGATCTCCTAAATTATCACTCATTATTAGATGATCTCACTGCTCTGAGTTCGTTATCGCCCCCGGGGGGCCGCAGACCTCGGGGTGGAACATCCCGGCCTTGTCGATACATACTGTAGCTTTTGTGAGTATAACTTGGTCTTAGAGAGAAAAATGATCTGAGTTCAAAGACCCCGGCCAGTGTAAAAGGGTCCTTTTCATGGTGTGTTTACAAGAGTGGACACATTTGCACAGACTGGACTACTACAGGGTCTTTGTCACTGAACATACCGTATGTATAAGGAGTCTAAACATGCTGCTGTGTGTGTGTGTATAGCCACTGGTTTAACTCCTAGGTACATCTCTTATACCAATCATCCAGTTCTTCAGCTTGTTTAAGAGCCAATAGGCAGAATAATGTATTATCGAGAGATCTTAGCGCCAGCAGGTCTTGAACTTTACTTTGCCCAACTTCAGTAAATGTACTTGTTCGAAAATACACTGTTTGGAAATGTGACGTTCACTGCTAACTCACAGCAACTGCAGCCATAGCAAACAAGAAAGCTTGTTGTTTACCAGCTCGTTTTTAGCCTTCCACAGCCCCGAGGGCAGCGTCTACTTAACCCTCAAAAAGAGTCAGAAACACGCTGCAAAAACACACACAAAGCAGACTGCTGTGCTGCGAGAGGACGCCGGGTGAGAGCTCACAAACACTGATCTGTGTTTTTTTTTTGTATGTGCATGCTTTGGGCATTCCATGATGGTCCGACCAGGATACATTAACAAGAATGCCCCCATTTGCTACACGGGCTAGAAGAATAGGCCACTTTGTCTCACAGTTAAGCTGCTAACATGCTCTGTGGAAGCTGCAGACAACAACTGTGATGCTAATGTGAGCAGGAACATCACAGCAACCTGCTGTCTGCTGCAGCACCTGACCTATTGTCATGCTATTGTGCAAAAACACAGCTAATTACCAACGGAGCATAAACCTTGTGTCCTTAAATGATAAATGTTGTGGTACAGTTAGCATAGATGCTAAGGAAATAGGGTTTGACTATGTGGTTTGCTGGTTTACGGCTGTTGTATAACTAATAATACATAAAAAATGACTGTGACTAAATGACCAAATTAAACAATATTAGCTTATTTAAAAAAGCAATGCAAGTAACATTTTACTTTATGGTACATTTCAGAAAATGATTGCACTACAGACTACACTATGCACACTAAATATGTTAAAAATATAAAGCATAATGCCTTTTTCTTTTTTAAATCACAGATAACAAAAAGTGAATTTCTCGCAAATCTCATGTCATTAATTTACAAATCCAGCTAAATGAGATATCTGTGGGGCATCTTTGTATACTCTGATGTGTACTGGTCACGAGCTCCACCGATAGTATAATCCAAATGAAATGTTGTACAAGGGTAGAAGAGTACTTTGTTCTTTTCGTGGCACCATAAATCCTTTGAAAAAGAAATCATTTTTTAACCCTTTTAGGAAGTTATCCTACATAAATTTCAAAGCAGTGTTTTTTTTTTTTACTTCTCTTAAATATGCCGTGGAATGGAGGCAGTGGGGGCTAATTACGAGCATTCTTCACTGAATTAGCGTTCGGTGTGTGGTAAGGCTGTGCTCGCCTTCGTCTTGATCCCTTAACTGATCCCTTACTTAGTCTCCAGAAGGTCAGAGGTCACTTGGTTAATTAAGGGTCCAATCAGTCTGTAGATAAACTCATCTGAGCTTAATGTTTGCACTTTTTTAAAGTTCCAGCAGCTCCGCCTGGTACCCCTGAGCTGTTCGTGGACACTGCTAATCTACCCACAGACAGGGGAGTAGGTTAACCCAGCTCAACAGCGCCAAGCTTCAACGGCCTTTTCATTTCAAGGCCTTCAGTCAATGAAGAATGTCTGTAAGCTCTCGCTAAAGCAGAGAAATTACTCTAACTTGGTGTATTGTACACAGGGCGAGGGTTCGGGGTGGGGGGGTCCTAAACCTCTCAAAGAGCAGTAGATTATGGAGAGTAAGTAATGTTTATGCTTCAGAAGCAGGGCAATGTTTTCAATGGAGATACTGTATTTGTCCTTCTCTGCTGGCCCATGCTGCACACATCCAGGGTGATGAAAGAGGGGCTGAGCAAGCAACCATGAAATCTCTGGTTGTGTTGTGGATCAACAGAGATTACTCACTTTATCAGTGCTTTGTTTGACTCTTAATGTGAGGCTAAACAATTAGAACTTTGATGTATACTCTAATTAATTGAGCAGCAATGTGTTATATACCTGATCCCCAAAGAAGTCATTATTCACTGACAAGAAACTTTTTGCTGTGGTATGACAGTCAGATTTTTGCACCAAGTATTTCAAATTTGTAGCAAAAGGCAAAAATCCCCTTAAGTGTCATATATTTTTCCAAAATGGAAAACCTTGCATCCATGATTACACAGCTTTTTGAAAATAATGGTAGTGGAAATCAATGCAAAAACTGAAAGCTTCATTTGTCTCTTTCTTAGAAAATGGAAAACTCACAGGAGGTAAACACATGCACACAACAATATACGTGTGAGCATGTGTTCTCAAAACAAACGTCCTAAACATTTCCATTACATTTGTAGTAATGTAAAAACCAACTGCTCCAAAAAGGTACAAAACTGAATTTGAAGCAATTCACTTAAAAGCTTTGTCACTAACCCCTGCAAAAGAAACCAAACAAAAACGTTTTTGTGCAAATTACACACGTTTTTTATATCGATAAGCACTCAATTACATGAAAATCTACCATGCAGGTCAAAAAGATGTGACCGTAAAGCAGCAATAACACAGAAATCTGTGTCCACATGTTCACCGCCACACAACACATTTCTATCGATGTTTCAACAAGGATTATAAACTCTCTGAAAACACTTAAATAGTAGAAAAACTTACCAGACTGCCTTTGTAAAAATTATCCCTCAAACAAAACAGTGTCTACTCGTACAGAAAATCTCCACAGTCTCCTGTCCCTCGGACTGTGAGGGAATCAAAGCTATGAAAAGATGTGAATCTAGCTGAGCAAATAGGATTAAAGATGGCTAAATCCAAATGGCTGGAAGCACAGCATGCATTAAAGAGGAATTCTCTCAGGAAAGATAATCCCCATATACGCATTTTAACACACTTCACTCACTCCTGAGTTTTTTTACACACAGTCATAGTAAAACCACTATAGCCTGACTGTCCACACACACACACACACACACACACACACACACACACACACACACACACACACACACACACACACACACACACACACACACACACACACACACACACACACACACACACACACACACACACACACACACACACACACACACACACACACACACACACACACAGCATCTAATAATACAGCGCTGCCTGGTCCATACAGACTGTAACCATGACACATGCAACTTCTCATTCCAGACGTGGAAACTTTACACTGTATGAAATGTGTCAGCGTGCTAATCATACATGCTGACATATATTATTTTCCTACCAATGTTTTTTTTACCTTGAGCACCTCCATTGGCACCTGGGCAGCAGGCGGCAGACTGGCAGGGACGCTGACATTGATGGCAGGGGTCTGTGCCGCTGTGGTTTGTGGGTAATGGCAGGCCTCTTGTTTCTGCTGCTCCCGCCGCTCCTGCTCCTGAAGCTGCTCCCGCATCAGCTGCTGCCGCAACAGGATGCGTGATGTCATGGCGGAGGAGCTCAGCGGGGGCTTGGAGGAGCCGTGCTGCTCCGAAGGGCTGCCGCAGAAAGAAAAAAAGATGCCAGATGAATGAGCAGAGACAGCGAGCGATGTGGAGATAGTGATAACACAGAGAGGGTAGAGAGGGGTCAGACAGGGAAGGAGAGGTCAAGCAAACGAGACGAGAGAGGAGGAAGATCAGAGAGCAGCAGAGGTAGAAGAAGATGAAGGGAGAGCAGATGGAATAAAAGGTTAATATGAGCGAAGGGCAGAGATCAAAAACATCTTAACTGTAGAGCTGCAGAGATTTGATGATTAATTGATTTGGATTTGCTAAGATACTGAGTGAGCGTATATTCAGACTCTGCTAATCGGGGCAGGGATTTTAAAAGCACTAATGTCAAACTTTTGCAGGTTCCAGCCTGTCATGACGTTTTTGAATATTGGTTTGAGAAAAACAAGCACTTAGAAGACATAGCTATGGCCCTAGGAAATGTTGATGCTTTTTTTTTGACATTTAATGTATTATCAAGAATATAATTGGTAGATTAGGCCCTGTTTTTATGCTATTTCCAAGACATAGTACAATTAAACCACTCAGCATTCATTAAAATGCTATTTTCAACAGATAAACTTTCTGATTCTGAATCAGAAGCAGAAACAGGTTTATTGCCAAGTGGGTTAACACATACGAGGAATTTTCCTTGGTGTACATAACACAGTTAAATAAAAACAATTTAAACCTATTATAAGTTAAGATATGGGCAATTATTTACATGAAATCTGGATATACTATAAAACTACGTGCAGTATACTATTGCAAAGTACTTCTTCGAATAATACAATGAAATAAAATATGTACAGTATTGTTATGGAAAGTGGATGAGAGTACACAAATGTGCAAAATATTTGGAGGGTTGTGCAGAACTGGCAATACTTAGATTAAATAAATAAAAACAAGAAATACTTTGGATAGTGTGCATCGATGCAATGTAATGAAGATGTTTGAGAGCTCCTAGTCTTAAAGCTTTTTTACATTAGAGGAATTAAACCTCAACAGAAAAGAGGAACAGGTTTCATAAAAGGTTGCTTCAGTTTTCCCACTCTCTTAAATTTAGACGGCTGCTCCCCAGACAGAGTCCTAAAATAGAGAGGCTCTGCTGAAGCAGAAGTTGCCGGGATGAAGCCTTCATCGAGTGAGCGATCCTTTTGACAAATCTCAGTAAAACGTCTGGCCAATCCAGCTGTGCAGTAATCGCACTAATTAGCCAGTGGAGTCAAACACAGCTTCGGTCTGCAGCGTATTCACTGGGTGTTGAACCCTCAGCATACCATCATTCTCCCCCCAGTGCTGCACATAATCTCATTGTCTGATTCCACGCCCACTGAACCCTGAGCAAGAGCGAAAACACGCTACGGTGTAACACAACGCCACATTTTCTGACTGTTATCTACAGTCAAATAAGATTAGGTATTGCCCTTTAGCAGAGACATCTATCATTCACTCCTGAAGACAATGCTGATACAGATACATTGATTATTGATCCTAGATAAATCAATTAACAAGTCGTTTTAATGAGGGAGTTAGAAGCAGAACAAAGACTGGGGTTTTGTCTCTAAAAGTCCTGCAGCAGTTTGGGACTCTCAAATGTTTTTGTGTCAAGTTTCTTTGTACTTCCCCCGCTATAGAGAATCAGGTTTAGTGGTTATATGTATAATTCCTTTGTCTGTGTGACTTTATGCAATTGTGTTTCCTTTCATCAGTTTCAAACAAAAGTGATTGGATCTAATGTCAGCTTTTTTTTTGTTAATTTCCACTGCCAGAGCAGAAATCCTTTGATTTGTTTCTTTCTTTTATCTGTTTCACTGTTTGAGTGTTTGAATTTTACACAACAGTAGTTTTATTTCCTTTGCCCCCTCGTGTGTAGCTAGAAAAAACATAAAAAGTGAATTTCTTTCAAAAAGCCCACATTTTTTTAATGCAAAATATGATGATACGATATTTACTACATTACTTCCTTAATTACTTTTAATGTGGAAAAAGTAACATTTTGGGATACTTTAACTTGGAGTATGTCATTTCATTCTTACGTAGATATTCAAATACAAATCAGAGGCAAATAAAGAAATGACATGTTGATTATTAATGCAAAAATAAAATTAACAATACAATATGATCCCTCCCCTCGGTCATGAACCTTGGAGTGACCTTCACTAGCACTTTTAAATTCGACAAGCAGGTCAGCACCGTAGTAAAATCCTGCTTTTTTAAAATAAGACTATTGGCCAAAACCAAGTCGTATTTATCTTTTAATGACTTAGAAAGGGTTATTAACGCCTTTGTAACCTCGAGACTGGACTATTGTAACGCTCTGTATGTGGGTATGGACCAGGCCTCAATTAAACGCTTACAGCTAGTCCAAAACGCTGCTGCACGTTTGCTGACTGGCCACAAAAAGCGCGACCACATCACCCCTATTCTGGCCTCACTACACTGGCTTCCAGTTCGGTTCAGAATTGATTTTAAAATCCTTTTATTTGTTTTTAAAGCACTAAATGGGCTGGCTCCGGCCTATATAGCTGAACTGCTCCAGCGCTACACCCCAGCCAGAGCTTTAAGGTCTGCTGACCAGCTGCTGCTGGTAGTGCCCAAGACCAGGCTAAAAACCCGCGGGCACCGAGCCTTCGCAGCAGCTGGCCCTAGGCTCTGGAACACTCTGCCCCTCCATTACCCCATTCACACCAACGGTGTTTCAGGGCCGGTTTGGAGCTGGAGCTTGAAAAGCACCGGGTTTTCCTGTTCACACCGCAGCGGAGCAGCCTCTAAGCTCCGGAATCCGGTTCGTTTCGAGCACCAAAAAGTTGTCCGTCTAGAAGCAAGAACCGCATACGTCACGCTTACGTCGGAGGGGGGCAAGATTAACCTGAGCTAACAGTTAAGTCGAGTACGGCAAATAAAAGTTGTAACAAGCAGTAGTGCTGAGCAAAGTGACTAGAACGCAACCACACACTTGTAAAAAAAAAACACGCTTTATAAAGTTAGGCAACACTAACCAGGCTTCTTGTGATTCTGTTTATTTGTACCTTACTTTGACCATCCGTTCGCTGTTATTGATCATTGTGGAGAGCAGGCAGACGTTTTGTTTGTTATTATAGCAGCTATCGGATGGAATCAATACATGGGCTGCACAGGTTGTCATGTCCGACTATCACAAGTAGAATCATAATGAAAAATACGCCGGTAAAAAGTGCCTGTAGAAAACGGCTTAGCAAGTAGTCAGTTTAGCTTCGGTTGCTATGCTAACATCACCCATGTTATACCAGAGAAACTTTCATAACAGCGTTGTGATGCCAAACAGCGTCAATTCAGACTGACACCAAACAGCGTCAATGCAGACTGACACACATTCACTTAAGGGGAACTGGGGATATGTATCAGCTGCTTGTGTGACAGTCAGACAGTGAATACTTTAGAGCCGTGTGAGCTAACCCGGAGCTAACGGGAGAATACACTCCCGTGGAAGAGCAGCCAGCACTGCAGCGGTCGGTAAATGCCGCTGAAACACATTAATAAACAATGAACCACGGCACTCTGGAGAAAAGTATAAGGTTGGAGAAGTCGTTATTTAATTTAATCTGGCTTCGTATGATTAAAAGCAACACGATCATCGACCCGACGCAGTCCCCGGCCCGTTGTTGTTGTGAGGTGAGCTTCGTAAGGGGAGAAAATCAGCGACGTAAACTGTGACGTCATGACGCAGCAGCGGCAGCACCAGTCGGGCTCTGAGCGGTGTGAAAAGAGCCGGAGCTAAACCGAAGTATCGGTTCTGAACCTGAAAAGCTCTAGCACGGAGCTTGAACCGGAGTTGCGTTGGTGTGAAAGGGGTACATGTGAGGTCGGCCCAGACCCTAGGGGTTTTTAAATCTAAACTAAAAACACATTTCTTCTCTCTGGCTTTCTAGTTAGAGCGGAGCACGACTCCTGACTTTTCCGTGTGTTTTATTTTTATTTTGTTTTTAAGATATATCTGTTGTAATTTATTGTCGTTTATTGTGATTTGTAGTAATGTGATTTTATTACATGTACAGCAGTTTGGCTCGACCAAAAATCGCTTTTAAATGTGCTATATAAATAAAACCTGATTTGATTTGATTTGATGATGTATTATTATACTGAATAAAACTGTTTCCGGCCAGTTTAAAAAATAGTTTGAATATTTCCACCTTGACTAGCAGTGATTACAGTTATTTATAGCTAAATGCATCAATAATAATAATGCAATATTATAACATATATTTCTGAAATAATGTCTACTTTTACAAACTCTGATATTCACTATAATTAAAGCTTAACCCAGTGTAATGTCAATTAATGCTAGAAGCTCTGTTAGAACCATAGGTTAGAACACAAGTAATTGGATTACACAGGATGTAATTTGTCATAAACCAAGCCAATGGCAAATATAAATCAGTGAGCTGCTTTAAGCGCTAGAGGAAAAGTGAGGAGTTCATCAAAGTTATTATGATTCATAGTGTCGGAATAATAATATGCCTCTACCGAATGATGTGCCAATACATCAAGAAGATGTTGAGATATTTCACTAGATAAGTTAAAACTTTAAGTGCTGGTGGCACTAGACAAAATGTCAAGGATCACCAAAGATATTATTAATTATTATGTGGGCACAATGGATAACTACCATATGCAAGACTTAGATTTTACAGTTATAATGTGAACTTTCCAGTGCTCTCTGGTGGATCAAATATGTAATAGTATCACTGTTTTCCCTTTCCAGTAGTGTGTTATATAGGGGTTTCTTGCATGTAAATGGTCTGCAAAGGCTTGAATCCCAATTTCTCTCACACACACACACACACACACACGGCACACACACACACACACACACACACACACATACACACACACACACACACACACACACACACACACATACACACACACACACACACACCTGCCTGAAATGCCTTGATTGGACTCCTTTGTTTACTACCGCAACATAGTGACGTCACTATGTAACGTCACTATGTAACGTCACT